TAATAACATTGACTTTGTTGGGTCTGAACATCTAGTTAGTTGTTTTTCACTTGGACATCTGCCCACCTAAGGTGTTCTTAGTGGGTAGACTAACGCGGAGGCAGGCTATCTTGGACTGAAGTTCCACATGGAAATCTTTTGGTCTGACTGTCTGGATAAATGTTGAACGACACAGTCAGGGTTTGTTGCCGTGTGTGTGTGGATGAAATTGGATTTTTTTAATATTGCAAACCACCATTCATGTGTGAGCCCCAAATTACCGAGGGTTGTTCAGATTTCCTCTTTTAAATGTGTTTTTCATATGGGTTTGTACTCCTGTATGTCCAATTGTTGGTTAAAGGAATCTGACTATAAAAAGACAATAAGCCTGCAGATTTCGCTAAAACCTTCTGCCCGACTAAAACGGTGGAATTGGCGAAATTCCGGAATTTCTGGTGAGAAATACCAGTCACAAGTGTCGACGCCAACTAGGGTCCTTCAAATGGGTGTGAAATCAGCTAATCCATGTTAAACTTCGTTTAGTTTCGAGATAGCGGTTTTAGCGCCGAACAGGGAGAAATTTCGAAAATACAAATCGTTATTTATTGGGTATCCATATTTTATGTCGGAATATTTTTGTTTGGTATTGTTATCACGTGACTTATGAAATTATTGTTCCGGAGAGTAGGTGAACTCTGATCCCCGTCTGGTATTTTTCACCATATATAACCGTCAGTTGATGAAAGAATAGAGCGTTTTTTCGGCAAACTTATTATACCGACAAACTCTCATTGCACCTTAATTTTGAAAAAGTCGATCGATCAAAGACGATGAGATCAGGATAGCCAAACGATATTTGTTACACAAGGTCAAATGGTCGTGATGGAAGAGGATGTTACCTAAACAGTTCTTGGTCGAGATGACCTTGTTTCATCCCCCCAACTGGACACGTACCACTCCTATAACCATTCGCAACGTGATCATCATTTGTGATTCATTGCACCTGACGGTTTAGCTTATTTCCCGATTGGGCTGAAAACACATGCTCACACTTCTTAGTAGCATGTGTAAGCTATTCGTCTTCCATGGAAATTTCATTAGTAAATTACAATGGTACTTCGGGTTCAAACTACCTATCGATCAGGGGCTGACATGACTAACAATTTTGACAAGATTTTTGTTAGATGAGCGGAGGTTAGATTAGCCAATCAACAGTTTTTTCCGTGGTACCATATGAAACTACAACTTGGTCGATCAGACACCTTCAGCAACTGGTGTGTCTAACAAACAAACACACCGCAATGTCAGAATGTCATTTACATGACTAGTCCGTATACAAGGGAGTCATGGTGACCGATATGAAGTTGAATCGGTGAATTCAACAGATACTGCCAAGGGCTGATTACACTTGGGCAGCTGGAATTCGATACCTTTCTGTACTAGCATAGGCTGAATTCAATCATCGGATAGAAGCCATCGATGAAAGTTCGAAATCTCCTGGTCGCCGGGAAAAGTCGTTTATTCCCCCTGTCTAGTTCACAAAACATAGTCGCATGTTGGAATTTGGTACAGAGAGTTCATCAACACTGTAGTGAAAGACACACAACACCTACTCTGCTTCCAACCTTAGCTGAAATCTACTGCTTGCGGGCGCAGACGCAAATCGAGACGGACTCAAAATTCAAGCACGAAAGATAAAGTTGTCCGCGCAGTTTTATAAAAACCTCATACATCGTTCCAGCACCCAAAGCACGAACAGTACTGTCTTCCGACCGAATCAAACTGAGTGAAACTAACTTATTTCACTGTTTTAAATTCGAACCAGAATGTAACGAAGCCTAACCTGGAAAGTGACCTTCGCTAAAGGACGGCTAACGGTCTACAATCAGAATTCCGTCGCGGTAACATCCCTGGATTAGTTACTGGTTTCCTCTACTTTGGTATCAGGACAAACTCATTTCCCGACTGAGCACTATGAGATTGTCAAGTCTCTAGTGGTGCACATGACTAAATCAGTGCTTTTGTTTTTTTCTACTCAAGTAACAGTCAGGTGAAGAGCCAACCGAAAACCACGGATAACGTGAACAGCAGTGT